AACGGGAGCAGCATAGTATTTCCGCAAAAAGCACTGATTTCTTACAGTAGGAAGTCAGTGCTTTTGCGGAAATTCAAGCGGCCGGTTTAGACAGCTGGCAAGTTTTTCTGGAAAAGCGGTTGATTTTCCGGAAAAACTGGCCAGTCTAGACACAGCCCCACAGACTGGATTGCTGAGCTCTGCTATTGCCTAGCTTAGTTGACTAGTGGGGTGGTGTTTGGGGAGCTCGTTCTTAGGCCCCTCTCCCCCCACGCCTTGTATAGGAAGCCTGGGCAGCCCATCAGGCTTTGGGGATACTGCTGGGTGGCTGGTGCACGTGTCATCACATTCCCACACTCTCCAGCAGGGGGCGTAGCATGTGCAGTAGCCCAAGTAGGTCCCATCCTGTTTGCTCCCATGTGCTGCAGCAAGGGGCAGGGGTGCATGTGGACACACAGGTCCCATCCTGTCCAGCAGAGGGCAGTATTGCACACTCCCCTAGGCACAGCAGGGGGCAATAGCGCGCGCGCGCGCACACACACACACACACACACACACACACACACACGGTACGTCTAGACTACAGGCTTTTGTCGACAGAAGTTTTGTCGACAGATACTGTCAACAAAGAGCATCTAGACTACATTCAGTTCAAAACCCTGTAGTCTAGACACAACCCTAGATGCAATAACACCTTCTGTCAACAGAACTCTGTCGACAGAAGGTGTTATGCCTCGTAAAATGAGGTTTACTAGCGTCGACAAAACTGCTGAGTTCTGTCGACATTATGTCGACAGAACTCAGCAGTAGTATAGACGCAGGTATAGTTTTGTCGACAAAAGGCCACTTTTGTCAACAAAACTCTGTAGTCTAGACACACCCTTAGATGCCTGCACACAGGCCCCATCCTATCCAGCAGGGGGCAGTTGTGCACACTTGTGTACACACCCCTAGACACACACAGGCCCTTTCCTTTCTCTCCAGTGCAGGCCATACTGCTCACGTGCCCTAATCACGACAGTGACCAAGGCGCAGCTGTCAATAACCAGGCCAGGAGGCGTCTTTGGGACACATTTAATAATAAAATAACAATAGAGAGTGAGTGCCTCCCTGAGGCTGGAAGCTGGATCCCCCCCAGCCAATTAGTGACAATAGCCCCCTGCCCCCAGTCACTTATCCTTGAACGGGGAGAGAACACGATCTGTTTTTAAAAGCCCCCCCTTCTGTCAAACCAACAGCGAATCACAGAATAAAGGGGGAGGGGAGCTAGGCGGGCACCAGTCCCAAGGACTGTCCCCCAATACACAGCACCATGGGGCACTACGGGCTCTGGCCTCCGCAGCTGGGATCCGCCCCATGAAGACCTGGCTTCTAAAATGAGCCTGCTTGGCCCAAGCAGGTGCAGGAGGGGGGCTGTTTAAAGTGGCAGGATAAATACCAAGGGAGGCCCCCGCCCCAGCAGGGAGGACGGCTGTAGTGCAATTTAGGCTCTTGGCTGCCCCTGCCCTGGGAGCGCCTCAGGGCTGAGGATTTAGCTGAGCCCTGACCCCAATGGGCCAAGCTGGGGTGAGAATCCAGGGGTCAGAGCCCCCCTACCCCCCAGTATCCCACCCTGCTCCATGGCTGGGGGGAGAGAAATGAAGATAATTTGCCAGGTCTTGGGTCCCGGGGCAGCTGTGGCCAGGCCTGGTCTCCAGTGCGGCTGCTGGAGCACCAGTTACCACGCACGCCTCAGGCTCAGCTGAACCCACCAGAGCCAAGGGGCAGGGTCTGGGCCCAGGATCCCAGCCCTGAGAAGGGTGAGGCAGTGACAGGAGAGGGGGGGCCAGGCTAGCATCTGGCAGCATGACCGGTCACATCCCAGGAGCTGCCAGTAGCCAGACTGTCCTGTCTGCTGGCATCCGGGCTGTTCCACTAGGGCAGCATCTGCCCTTTCCATGCAGTGCCTATGCGGAGCCCTGCCACTCCTCAGACCCCCATCCCTGAAGAGCTAGGGCCAGTACTTCAGCTGGTGTGGTCTGGGAGCGAGCGCTGGGACCGGGCTGTGAGGAGTCGGCTGCAGGGTAGGCACCAGCTCTGGTGCAGTCAGTCCTGGGGGCGATGGGCAGAGTAGACTGCTCTGGCACCACCCTTTCCATAGCAGAGCCTGCCGAGATTGCGGGGGGACACACAGGAACACCAGGAAAAAACCAGCTCTGCCCCTGGGGGTCCTGCCAGGCTGTGCCCAACGCAGCCCGGCCATTCCTGAGGGCCAGCGTTGGAGGGCAGCGCAGGGCCATGCCGGGATTTCACACTGGAGACACAACATAATAACTTAGAGACGCTGCAAGCAGGGTTCGGGCTGGGGAGGGGGCTGGCCCTACAGCGTGGGGTCAGTGCAAAGCGGGGAGCACCTGGGCCAGACCTCCAACCACACGAGAAAATTCCTGATAATTAAGAAGATTAATACTGACGTCGAAGGGTTTATTGCACTTGGAGAGACTTTAAATTAGAGCCCAGAATTCCTGGCCACAGCCTTGGGCCGCCCTGCCCCATTGCCCCACCTGGCAGCTGCGAGCTCAGTGCCGGCGCGGGCGCAGCTGGCGGACCATGGCTTTGGCTTCCTATGCTGCAATCTTTGGCATCGCTGAGTGTGGCCCCGAGGACCCGTGGCTGGAAATGCCCATTGTGTCCTCAAGGGAGCTGCCACCGACAGGAAGTGGGCTGGGGAAGGCAGGAAGTCCCGCCCAGCTCCGTGGCAGCGACTGGATGGGGCGATTGTGCTTGTCCAGCCTCGCTTTGGCATGTCCGAGTGGACGGGCAGCTTGTAAACTGTCCAGTTCAGACTCCACAACCCTGTGCCAACGCCGGATGGATGGACAGAGGAACGCGCTTCACGCTGTGCCACGGGAGGAGCCCACGGCTCCACAGAGACCAACGGCCTCCTGGCAGCCTTCAAGTATTGCCCGTGGCTAGAGAGCGCAGCCCTCAGGGTCTGACCTGCCGGGGCGCCCTCGGGGGGCAGTAGGCAGCTGCCAGGGTCTGGGGCCGAGGGGAGGTGGAGATGCCACCCCCATGGGCACAGAGCAGGCAGGGTGTTCTCCATCTGCTGCTGCAGTCCTGGGGGCTCAGCTCATGGCCACCCCTGGTGGGGCCCCCTTGGGTCTGTCTCTGCCCCATTGGCAAGCTTGCTGGGTGCAGCCCGTCCTTGCTGTGCCAGGCCGCGCCGCCCCTCCCCGATGCCGCTCTGAGGCAGCCACGCCGGCAAAAGCAAACAAGACAGACAGACAGACAGAGCCCAGATGCGTAGGGCAGCCGGGCGGCCCTGGCCCCGCTATGCCTCTGAGGCCGCCTGTGGCTTCAGCTGAGCCTTCTCCATGGCCGTGCCGTAGGGCAGGGAGCGTTTGAAAAACCCCAGCTGCAGAGACAAGAGGCAGGGCAGTGAGCGCACAAGGCAGTACCTCCCAAGCACCCGGAGCGTGCCCTGTCTTCCAGCCCCGCTCCCACCAAGAGCCAGGCACCGACCCCGATCCCTGAGTCCCAAGGGGAGTTATTTCTGGGAGCCCCTTGCTTGCCCTTTCGGAGCTGGCACCTCCCCTCCCTGGCTCCGTCCCTCTGTCCCACTCTGGAGAGCTCCCCCCGGGCCAGTGTAACGTCTTACCTCCCAAGCACCCGGAGCGTGCCCTGTCTTCCAGCCCCGCTCCCACCAAGAGCCAGGCACCGACCCCGATCCCTGAGTCCCAAGGGGAGTTATTTCTGGGAGCCCCTTGCTTGCCCTTTCGGAGCTGGCACCTCCCCTCCCTGGCTCCGTCCCTCTGTCCCACTCTGGAGAGCTCCCCCCGGGCCAGTGTAACGTCTCGCCAGGGCAGGCCTCACATGGGGACTGGTGGCTGCTCCAGGGCGTTGAGGCCCCGGCCCGCTGGCTCAGAACCACCCGGGGAACAGCTGATGCCCATGGGCAGCGCAAAGCTCCTGCCCTCCAGCTGGCATGACCACTGCCCGATGCTGCAGCGAGGCCTGCTGAGCTGGGAGCTCTGCCAGCCCCATTGCAGCTGCTCACAGGGGCCAGCCAGGAAGCTGGAAGCTGCTGGGCCCCGGCCTACCCCAGCCCCTCACCTTGTACAGCACGTAGATGAGCAGCGCCAGGAGCAGCAGCCCGAGCAGGATGGCCAGGATGATGATCCACAGCGGGACCCCCTGGCTGCTCTCTGGTTTCGCCCATTGAATCGCCGTGGTGACCTGCCAATGCCAAGTGATGGGGAGGGGTAAGGCAGGAGCTGGGGAACCCCCTCCCCTCTGCCCACAGCTGCCTGCTCTCCTGACCCCCATGCTGGGCACTGCTGGGTAGGGCTGGGCCGGACGCCATCTGCAGCATTCTCTAGGGTGCCCAAAGGGGCATGCAAAGGGTGCCATGCCCAGCACTGGAGTGCAGCCAGGGAGCGCCGTGCCCAAAGGGCGCCATGCCCAGCACTGGAGCGCAGCCAGGGAGCGCCATGCCCAAAGGGCGCCATGCCCAGCACTGGAGTGCAGTGCCCACACAGGATACTCAGACATCACCCAGAGCAAAGCGCAGGGAGGTCGGGGCAGCGGGCAGCACTGGCACTGAGCCCACCCAGGGCAGGCACGCCGGGGAGTTTAATGACCAGGCGCACTCGATAGCTCAGGTCCATTATTTCTGGTGGTGCAGCGCCCCTAGAGAAACCCCCTTCCGCTCCCAACAACAGCACCATCCCCACACACACCCCCGTCTGCTCCCTGCCCCCCATGACATCCCAGCCCCCTGCGGCGCAGAGCCCCCTGGCTCCGCCCCAGGGCCTGGGGGCCACCCCGGCTCACT